TTTTAGCATTAGCTTCCACTAATACTGCATTGGTGTAGCTCTTTAGCATTAGCTTTTGGTAAATATCATTGGTATAGCATTTTAGCATTAGATTCAACTAATACTGCATTGGTGAAGGTCTTTAGCATTAGCAGAGCTAATGTTTATGGTCAGTGCTTTAGAGTTAAGGTTATTAACCTTTTAGCTAGCTAGCAGTGGAAATCCGTTGATCCATTTTCTTACACCCTTGTCCCTTGTGGGATGCTGCTGCCTCTCCAGCGAGACTTTTTGTGTGAGAAGCAGGGTCACCTGGACAAGTTGCCAGTCTGTCGCAGGTGGAAATCCCAATTCTAATCCAATCTGATATTTTTTTGCCATGTTGGCACCGTCAGTGACCATGGTAACAGGTTTAGCATCAGGAAGTTCCTTTTCCAGGTTCCATTTTAAGCTAGAAAACCCAAATCTGTTGAAAGTTCATGTTAAAGCAGTTTTCTGCTTTAAGATGTGGTGTTTTATGAACTTCCTTGTTTGATAAATGCTGCCTTCTTATTGGTTGAGCATAATGACCTATAGATCAGCGTAGACGGAGCTTAACTGCAAGTCCCGGTTCATCCGTTGGGCCTCTGCTCCCTGGACAGGAATGGCTCTCCGCTTCATCCTGGAGACCAACTTCCAGCCATCGGTGGGGATGCGTCCCGACTCCCGGAAGATTGGCGTTCTGATCACCGACGGGAAGTCGCAGGATGAGATCATCGTGAGCTCCCAGAGCCTGAGGGACAGCGACATCGAGCTGTACGCCGTCGGTGAGCGCCGCCGCCCGCTCTCCGGCCGCGTCCTGCGGTCAGGCAGAGCAGATCTCTCATCGTGTTCCCCGCAGGCGTGAAGAACGCCGACGAGAACGAGCTGCGCTCCATCGCCTCCGACCCAGACGAGATCCACATGTACAACGTGGCCGACTTCCGCTTCCTGCAGGACATCGTGGACGACCTGTCCAGCAACCTGTGCAACAGTGTCAAGGGCCCAGGTAGGATGGGGCCGTGGAACGAAGGTTCCCCCTGACGGCGTACAGCTCACTCCGCCTCACTCTGCCTCCAGATTCTGGTTCCGAGCTGGGCCCGCCCACCGACCTGGTGACCTCTGAGGTCACGCAGTACTCCTTCAGAGCCTCCTGGGTGCCACCAGAGGTCCCCGTCGACCAGTTCAGGGTCACCTACAGGATGGCCGCCGGAGGCCCCACCATGGAGGTGAGCTGCAGCCCGACCCGGGTCTGGCTCCGGTTCTGAACTGTGGTGTAAACCGGGTCTTAAACCACAGAAACAGTGAATCTGCTGGTGAATGCTTATCACATGTTTATAGTAAATATTTTTATCAGTTCTCATTTTTGCAGAAGTCATGTTTAAAGTTTTTTCTAAATTAGGACTTTTTCACTAATACGAAGGAAATATTGACTTCAACCAAGTTTTCAGTAAGATGTTATTGTAGTTTGTTTCCAGATATTTGTTCTGGCTGCGTTTGGTGTCCTGCAGTGCCGTAGAGCGGGTCACGGCTCCAGGATGGATAGTCTGTGAGCGGATCAGCCGGTTCTGGTAGAGAAGATGAGATTATTAAAGAACGGAGTCTCGTCTGACTGCGTGTGATTTAACGAGCGGCCTCAGCACTCAGGAATAATTAAGCCTCTTCACTTTCAGGGAAAATGTTTTCCAAGCTGTTCCTGATTTTCCAGGAGGAATTCTGAGTAAATCTTGTCATTAAAGCAGCAAATGATGTAACGGCTGTAAAAGCAGGATTCCTGACACATCACAGATGAGTAACAGCTGATTGTTTACTTTAGTCTTTAATCAGCTTCATCACAAACACATCTGGCTGTTCCGCCGGTTCTGTTTGTCAGCAGCAGGAATGAAGTCACTTCCTCCACCAAGCTGGACGGATTCTCCCAGCGACATGTTCGAGTCCCGCGTGTTTCAATCATCAGCTGAAACATCTGGAGGACATAATGATGGAGAAAGTCTTAATATTACAGCAAAGTTGTTCTAATGCCACATAAAACTATAATAATCCTGGAATAAAGACGCCAGAATAAATTCTTAATATGAAAATAGTCATAAATATACTAGAAAGTTTTTGTCATACTGCATCTTCCTTCTGCAAACACTGTGACGTCATGCTGGTGGTTGAAGTGCAGCGTCGCTCCGTTCCAGGTCCTGGTGGACGGCGAGGTGACCACCACGGTTCTGGAGAACCTGACGCCGCTGACGCAGTACGTGGTGAACGTGTTCGCCGTGCTGAAGGGGGCCAGCAGCGAGCCTCTGAAGGGAACCGAGACCACCTGTGAGTGTTTCCCTCCTCACCCCGCTTCCTGCTCCTCCTCCAATCAGCAGCCGCTTTCACAGGAAGTTAGCGTCATGGCTAATAGATAGCGCGCTTCCTGCTCCTTTTCAGATTTGTTCACTGCAGTTTGTTTGGACCAGAACAAAGTTTAAAGGGTGTGAATACTTTACTTTCCACATTCAGCGGTTCTGGTTCTGGCTGGTTCTGACTGGTTCTAACTGGTCCTAATTGGTTCTAATTGGTTCTAACTGGTTCTGGCTGGTCCTAATTGGTTCTGGCTGGTTCTAGGCTGGTTCTAACTGATTCTGACTGGTTCTGGCTGGTTCTAACTGGTTCTGACTGGTTTTAATTGGTTCTGACTGGTTCTGGCTGGTCCTAATTGGCTCTGACTGGTTCTGACTGGTTTTAACTGATTCTGACTGGCTCTGACTGGTTCTAACTGATTCTGACTGGTTCTGACTGGTTCTAACTGATTCTGACTGGCTCTGACTGGTTCTAACTGGTTCTAACTGGTTCTGACTGGCTCTGACTGGTTCTAACTGGTTCTGTCCCCCAGTGCCTCTGCCTCCTGCGAGCAACTTGAAGGTTTACGACGAGACGTCCAGCAGCATGAGGGTGAGCTGGGAGGCGGCGGCCGGAGCGAGCGGGTACCTGCTGCTGTACCGCTCCATCAACGCCTCGGAGCCTCAGGAGGAGCAGGAGGTGAGGACGCTTCAACCCGCTCCGCTTCAATCCCATTTAATCCGCTTTAACCCAACTCTGGTCCGTTTGTCTATAAACTCTGGTCCGGTTGGTGAGGTCTGAACGCTAACTGACCTCTGACCTCTGGTCCTCCAAACCTTGGTCTGGGTTCGGTTTGTGAACGCCAAGTGGACTATAGACCGCTCCAAAAGCAGGAAGTGGACTACAGTACAGGGCATTCTGGGAGAAATCCTCCAACTGCTAAAATCTGATGCCTCCATCTTGTTTCCATCTGGTGAAGGAGGAAGTTACCTCAGAGGTTTTTGTGTCGTTTCCTTCAGTGGTTCTTGGTGCAGCGCCCCCACAGGCGCCACATGGCTAATGTTGCCTCTTTGGTCCCAGTTGAACCAATTCTCCAGACTCGGTGATGTCACATAAACTCAGTTGGGCACATGTGAAACACTCCAGCTGTTACTTGTTTGTGCTACAAAATAGAAATAGATGATACCGGCCCTTTAAGAGGAATCATCACTTGGAAATGTCTGAAATGGATTCAAGTATTCTCCAGGTTTGGTTCATGATGGAAACAGAGAACAGAAAAAATATTTATGTCCCAAACGGTTGTTCTGCCCCCAGACTGCAGTGCCCCGAGTGGAGAGCCTCAGATCCACCTAGTTTAGAAATTAAAACGTCAAATGAGTTTTAATGAAACACCTGAAGATGATTCGAAGGCTCAGTACGGGTGTGTGTGTGCGTGGGCGTGTGTGTGTGTGTGATCTGGCTGATGTCCTGCAGAACCCGGTTCTTTACTTTTCTTCTTGGATCTGTTAGAGACATGAGGCAGTTCTGATGCTGACCCGGACCCAAACACTCAGAACTACACACGTCTCCCCGGTTCACATCTGGACCGGGTCGGCCCAGCGCTGCTCGGCGGGTCGGGTTACAGCTTCCAGATGGAGGTGCAGCTGCAGCACCAGAACCAGCCATTTAAAGAGACGGAGGGATGAGCTCATGTTCTGACGGGCCGGGTCAGAACCTCTGAGCGTTATGCTGCAGCCATCAGAACCGTTTCCAGATGTTTCCACATGGAAACTCCATGTTCAACATGTAGCAGGCTAACAGGCTTTTATTTTGAAAATCCTGGAGCTTCCTGTTCTTCTGCAGCCACGTCCTGATTCTTCCTGTCGCTCCTTTGCTGCTGCCGTGCCTGAGCAGCTCTAGGTGACCTTGACCTTCTGGACGACCTTGATGACTAAAGCCGGCTGA